AACATTTCAGTTTCTCCAGTTCCAGACTTAAAAGAACTTCAAAATATACACAGGTGAAATATTTCCTTTTGGAATATGTGAAATGCTTTTTGAGACCCAGTTAGAATGCCTGAAACTGGGTGGTATGGAAATGTGTGGATAAGGTAGTCTGTAGAACTGGAGAAGAGTGATTCGAGGACACATCATTACCATATATATGCATCACCTGAATCCAAGACACATTTCTCTTCCGAGTGGACAGTGCCGTATTCTTGAGTGGAGTATATTAGGAAACGGTTGCTGTTTGCCGATTGCAACACCTAGAGCACAGCGCCTAAGAGCTTTTCTGTATTCACAGTTTTGCTTATACAAAACTAGAGCCTTTATATTCTTAAATGTCATGAATACAGGTAAGTACTACCATTTCTATGTTACCTAAGTTCTCAAGGATACACCTTGTTTTGCTAAAGCAGTAAACTCAGTTTAGTTTTGATTAGATAATGAGTATTGTATATTTTTTTGGTCCCCAATGTTTGATTCTCCCTCCCTCAATGGCGGAAAAGAAAGGAAGGAAGGAAGTTAATTCTCTGGTCCATCATGACTTCAGAATTTCCAGAGGTTTTATGGCATTGCATGTAATCCTTCTCTGCACCATTCTCATTCCCACTCTTCTTTTCCTAAGGAGTAGTTCAGATGGCCTAAAGCAGTGGCTCCCAACCATGGGTCCTCCAGATGTTCGTGGACTCCTACTCCTAGAAACCTTCACCACCAGCTGTGCTGGCCAGGATTTCTGGGAGTTGTAGTCCAAGAACATACAGCACATATTCTTCCCCTGCCTCCTGAGGTCCAACATGTGGAGAGTAAAATCTGGGAATTCTTGATTTGACTGAAGAGATGTCATCAAGGTTCCTTCTCTTAAAGAAGCACTATTTCAAAAGATTGGGTCTGAGCATTGGTAGCCAAGCTAAACATGGTACAGGAGATCCCTGACTGGATTTCTCAATGTCTTTTCTCTTTTTCAGACAACAGATGGCAAAGTTGTGGGAGTGAATTAGATCTGTTCCCTGCACCAATTTTCTGATGCCAACCACCAGCACTGAAAAGTGTTGGTCATAGAGGGGGAAAGTTATAGACATATGTATCATGCCTATATTATTCCTACACTATATAGCTCAGAACAGTTTTAGGCTGATTTGCAATAATTCCCTCACCTCCTGCACCAAGGTGATAATGCAAAGCACACATTCTGGTGACTTTTTAAAGATGAAACAGCCTCTTTAACAATAGGATGGGCACCCCTGCAGAGTCCACGGGCAAAATTATGGAAAATCAACCCTGATTGTTGCTCAGAGTCCTCTTCCAGTTTCATTGATGGGGACTATAAAAATGGCTTTGGCGGGTTGTATGTGATTCCCTCAGACTGCACTTTGCCCTCCTATGCTCCAGAAAGTAGAAATCCAGTTAGGCATCTGCCATTTTGTATACTGCTGTGGTCCCCAACCTTGGGTAACCCAGGTGTTCTTGGACTGCAGTTCCTAGAAACCTTCACCACCAGCTGTGCTGGCCAGGATTTCTGGGAGTTGTAGTCCAAGAACATCTGGGGCCCCAAGGTTGGGAGCCACTGATCTAAAAGTAAACATGGGAGACAATATTTGTGCACATGAATCAAAGCTTCTCTGTTGGGATGAAAAGAATCTAGCTTGCCAGTGGTTGTTGGACTGCAATTCCCATCAGCCCTAGCTAACATGGTCCACAGTTAGGAATTCTGGGAGTTGTAGTCCCAACAACATAAGGGGAGCCACACATTCCCCTCCCCTCCCTTGCCAGATTGAAAACCCTCCTTTACTAGCAAGTAAAGAAATCCCTAGAGCTTCCTTGGTTTTGCCTCCCATGTGGGTACCCAGTGTGGTGTCATGGTGAAAATGAGGGATTAAGATTTGAGTGACCTGGGTTAAAATTCCTGCTTAGCTATGGATACTCAAGTGTGAGGGGGTTAGATGTGAAACTGCTAAAAAGCCCTTCTTTAATATCTGACACCTTGAAAGCTATATTAGGGCCACCCTAAGACTTGACTGCATGTAACTTACGTGCAGGCTGAACATCTGTATAGGGCTTCCGATTTCCAGTGTTGCCCTTTAATCCTACCCTGGTCCACTCAATGATATTTAAGTGGATTTCGTTACACTTTTCCCACTGGCTGATTTCCCAAAGCAAATATTTTACCTTCTAAAAGATACGGTTTAATTCATTGACAGAAAATTCCGCAGGCCTATGTTATTAATAATTTGCATGGTTTCAACACTCTGATCATCCTTCCCCGGTCAAGTGCTCTTCAGCTTTTCTTTCTGGTTGAACGGCAGCCTGCTCACCTGTCAGTTCTCTCATTTTCTTAGTCTGGATGCAAGGAATCCCTTGAGCCTCTAACTCTGTGTTGACCGGACGTGACAACAGCCAAGCAGCTGGTACAGAAGGATCGTGGATGGACATAAACAGCAAGCAGAATGAGTGCCCTCGGATCTGAGGCATGCAGATTCCAATTCGCCCTCCACGGCGGAAAGGCAAACACAGTGTTAAGAGTGCTCTGAATGTCAACTCTTTTGTTATTTAATGGAGAGGCTTCCTCTTCATAAATAAATCACGGGGAACGGAGGATCATTGAAGTGGAAGACACCTGAAGTGGGACAAAGACTTTGCAATAATGGAAGCATCGTGATGCTGGGTGTTTGCTTCTTCTTAACAACCCTAACAAGAGCCAGGATAACAGAAGTGCTTCCTGTCGGTACTTTGAGGTCTAGTAAATGGGTTTGAATGGTGTGTAAGACTGAGCAAAGATGGAGTGTGTATGTTTGTGTAAGGAGAAACCAAGCTTTCTGCAATGGTGGGATCTTTGCACAGTCTGGGTAGAGAGAGTGGTATAGATTTATCAAATGGGCGGGATATAAATCAAATAAATAAATAAATAAATAAATAAATGAGCCTCAGGGCTGTAAGAGTGCATGGTTTTGGAATCACACAAGTGGTGAAATGATAGCGATGTATATAATTATACAAAGTATGGAGAAGGTGAACAAGGAGAAGAAACGCTTTCTCTAAATACCTAAATCCAGTGGGATCATCCAGTGAAACTGAACTGGTGAGAAGATCAACACAATTGAAAAGAAATGTATTTTCACATGGAACATAGTTCAACTAGGGCCAGACCAGAATCTGACAGAATATTTGTGCCTATGGAAGTGCAACGGCCTAGGCAGGAGTGGTGAATGGCCTCTAATTAACAAATCCTCAGTCGAAGTCCTTGCCTCGTGCCGAGTCATGTACCAGGCGTCCTGCTAGGAGTTGAACCAAGGACTTATCACTGGAAGAGGATGAAACCAGGCACATCTCCTCCATAAAATGGCATATGCTGATTAGTGTGTACAGATGCAAAGTTAGAAATGATTTTAGTAATTTAAAAATGTATCTCATTGGGTTAGGAGAGGTTGAGACAGGTGACCAAGTGCCTGCTGCTGAGTCTGCCCTCCAGGATGATGGGTAATGTCAGGGTCCTTGATCTCGCTCCTTCCAAGTCTTTTGCTTTCCATCAGACTTTGACTAAACAGCCTTTCTAACAGGGGGCGCCTTCCGAGACAGAACTGCTGCCCGGCAGCCCTTCGCAAGAGGACGGTTTGCTCTGCAAGAGTCGGCATGCGGCTGCCATGTTTGCCAAGTGGTTGTAATGCTGATATAAGAGCCAAGATTTGAGGGCTGCAGTGGGATAGAGTGATGGACTAGGACTCTGGAGAACAGGGTTCGAATCTCTACTTGGCCATGGAAATTCAACAGGGGGAGTGTAACCTTTAAAACCTTAAATAACTCACTTACTTTGAAAGCGCTATTGGGGTTACTATAAGTCAGTTCCAACTTGACAGCACAGAACACACAATTTTGCTGGATCTCATGATTCTAATGAAGCAAATATTGGCTGCCAATTGGAAAAGGTCCAGCTCCTTCCTTCCTCCCACCCCCTTTTTTTGCAGTGGAGGTGGGCACAACAAGATTACAGCAAATCCTGTTTAACTCCCTGTTCCCTTTTGTTAGGGAAAAGAGACAGGTATTCATCTTCTTGTCTGGGAAAGGAGGTTTAAAACATTATAGGAAAGCGGAGCGATTACAACGCAGCCTCTCTTTCCCATGCAAGCCTTCTGTTTCAAAATTGCCGTATCAGCAACTGTGTTCAACTTTTCTTTTCGAAAGCAGCCCCCGCTAAGAATGGCAAAAGGGTGGCATGCCATCCCACCCTCCTCGTGTTCTCAAAATATCTCTCCTTTGTTCCCAAACATTGCATCTAGTTTTATGTGTCCTTGAAGCTACCAGTTTGTTTCCTTCTGTGGCCTTCCTCTTCTGTTTGTTGTTGTTTTGTTTTAAACTGTGCTCTGATTAAGCTGTTTCTGTCTGCCATCGCTCAAAGAGAGCCAGCGTGGTAGAAGACGGGACAGTGGCTAGGAAAATAAAATCTGACTTTGTGTGTGCGAATCGCGAATCCAAGTCTGTGTTCAGTTGTTAGCGCTCCATGGGTGGTTTTGGCATGCAGTGCCTCTTCATTCTTGGCCTGGCTCACTGGGCAGGGCTGTGAGGTCAAAACACTGCTCTGAGCTCTGTGGAAAATCAATGGGAGGCAAGATATTCCATGGAGAACAGATGATGACAGTGCTTGGGTAGCCAAAGGTCTGGTGGGTGGGTGGAATCTGGGTATGCTTCCATTAATTTACATAGGGGGAATCTGTGGGTCTCCAGATGCTGGCAGGTTGCAGTTCACATCTGATCTAGTCAGCATAGACCACAGTGGGGGATGATGGTAGTGATAGTGCAGGATGTATTGGGTTTGAAGGACATCGAAGCTTTGCCTCCACTGTAGATGTGTCACGTATATTTAGCAAGTCAACTGTGGATCTCCTCAGCAGTACGTTGCTCACATACTGAATATTTAAATATATACATTTAAAAAAGACTCTCCCTTCTCCTCTTCCTTCCTTCTCCTCCAGGTTAGCCTGAACGATTCACACAACCAGATGGTGGTCCACTGGGCTGGAGAAAAAAGTAACGTGATCATCGCTCTGGCTCGGGATAGTTTAGCCCTGATGGGTCCCAAATTAAGTGATGTGAGTCCATGCACTTTTTGTTTGTTGTTTTGCTTTTATTTCGAGGAAAGAAAATAACCTCCCCGGTTGAATTCTGAGCAATGTTTTCCCTCCTATTTCTTTAGATTCTTAAGACTTTTGCTTACTTTATTCTGTAAACTGCCACAAACAGATATCCTGTGTCTATGTACTGCTATTATTGTCTCTGGAATGGTCCCTCAGGAGGCGGAATCTAGTAGTGTGCTGTTGTAGTTGCTTGCCTGGACCTGTAAAACCTCTTCCTTCTCCTTCCTGCTTTCTATTAACTATTGCCCCGAATAACAGCAATAACAATAAATGATAACAACAAGGAAGACTTTTTGTTCCTCCTGACAAGGCTGTGGTGGCTTCTATTGTCCAGTCCTAACACAGATCCTTTCCTGCCTTATGACCCTTCAAGAAGAAGGATTCTCTTGACTTTCCTGTATGTGTGTTTTTAATTCTAAGAAGATGATGACAGCTTAAGACACTAACTGTCTTCATACTTCCTTCACAGCTTCTAACAGTGGTGTCTTTTCCTTACTAGGTGTACGTGTCTTATGACTATGGAAAAACCTTTAAAAAGATCTCGGGGAAGTTCAATTTTGGCCCAGGGAACGCCAGCCAAGCTGTGATTGCCCAGTTCTACCACAGTCCAGCTGACAACAAGAGGGTAAGGAGTGGGGGGGAAATCCCATGAATGGGCAAATAAAATATTTATGCACCCATTTCTGACTTTTAACAAGGGAAATGCTGAAGATTTTCCAGCTCCATGGAAAGATTAAAACTTGGGTGAGTTTTCCTAAAGAAGATTTAGATGTTGTAAATATTGGTCTTCCCATTTCCCACATGGGGCCATTTCTTCCCTGTTGCCTGTTGTGGCTCCTTCTTTTCCGAGCTGTATGACTCAGCGAATTTGCTCCATTGGGGAATGACATCATGAACAGAGGTGAAGCCTCTTGCATCATGACTCAGCGTTCAGTGCAATAACGATGCAACCAAACGCAAGTGAATGGTCTTGGGCTGCTTTTGGCTCTTTTTTCGGATTGTTAATGGCTTATGAGTCACTAATTTAATTAGTGGTTTTTCCCACATAATGAGCTGTTTTTTGAGTTTGTTTTGTCAGCTGTCTTAAGTGAAGACAGAAAGGATACAATGCCAATATGCACAAATAAATGAATAAACTCATCGTCAGATTGGCCCGGCTTTGTCATGGAAGACCTTTTCTTTTTTCCTTTTACAAAGAACTTATGAATTATGTTCCATCAGGTGGATCGTTGTCATCATGTCCTGTCAATTCAGTATGAAAGACAAATAAAAGTTGCTGGATAGCTGAAGGGTTTGGACCTCTGACTGCAGAGGTGGGGAGTTCGATTCCCCCCCTGGGCTTCCTTGACAGGATCTGGACTCCGTGATCCATAAGGTCCCTTCTAGTGCTGCAGATCTAAGATTATTGAACATTATTATTAAACATAATCGTGTGCTGTCAAGTGAATTCTGATTCTTTTCAGGGTTTTTGGGGTAGAGAAAACTCAGAAGGGTCTTCCCCTTCCCATCCTCCGGGGTAGAGAAAACTCAGAAGGGTCTTCCCATTCCCGTCTTCCAGGGGTGCCCTGGGACTATGCAGTTTGCCCAAGTCCACCCAGGCTGGCTTTTCTCTCTGGAGCCGTGGTGGGGAATCGAACTACCAACTTCAACGCTGCAGCCGGACACCGAACTCACTGAGCTATCCAAGCGGCACCTTAAGCCATTGCTACATTGACTCACACATTTTGCAGCTTCTATTTACTAACCAACCACTGTCTACCTTGGAGCCATGTGTAAATGTATAAATGTTTGCCATGTTTCTCTCACTGGTATGTCTGAGGAAGTGGACTCGATCCATGAAAGCTCAAGTTAAACCATAGAAGTTACACTTTAAGGTGACATCTCACTGGTATGTCTGAGGAAGTGGACTCAATCCATGAAAGCTCAAGTTAAACCATAGCGGTTACACTTTAAGGTGACACAGTGTCGTCGTCGTCGTCGTCGTCGTCTTCTTCTTCTTCTTCTTCTACTTCTCCTTCTTCTTCTTCTTCTTCTTCGCCTTCCTCTTCCTCCTCTTTTGGCTTTTGTTTCGTTTTGCTTCTTGTTTAATCTGTTACCGGAACTTTTTCTTCTTTGTAGATCTTTGTTCCGTCTTGGCCGTTTGGTCTTTGTAGCGAACGGTCTCTGCTACATATCCAAAAACAAACAGTGAGATGGGCTCATACAGGCAAGACAAAACAAATCATAGGAACAAAACAGGCATGGGACAAATATTAAAAGAGCTGTACAGCCAGTGGGAAAATATGTGTCTCCTAAGGATCCTAAATGACATTTGTTCAGGAAAAATGAACGAGTCATTTCTAAGGGTGGGGGGAGCGGTATAGAGAACAAAAGCTTCCCATCTGGTGATGGTTAATTTTCTCTCAGATAAAAGGAAGATGAATTGGGCAGGATGACTATATGCTGTGGCAGATGTAAAGCACGCGGCTGGGGTTCCCAAGCTGGCATTTGCTGGGGCACAAGCAAAGCTCAGATGCCCCGTTGCAAAAATCAAGCGACCGTCTTTATCTCTAATACTCTGTGTCACTTGGTATAATAAGACACATGGGTCTGCCAGTGTGTGAGCTGTACCTGCTAAATTGGGATGGCCACAGGGTGGATGTTGTTGCCTCATAAACCCTCACCCTAGCTGATGGAGCTGACGGTTATGAATGCTAGGATCTGCAGCCCAATCATATCTGGATGACTGCCCTTTGTCTGCCTCATTCTGTGGTTTTGTTTTGTTTGCATATAACTGAGTATCCTCTGCATATAACTTAAATCTGAGGGACTGGGATGGTTGAGCATGCTTTTAAAAGACTCCTGTGTGTCCAGAGATGTCCAGAAGGAGGCATGGTGGATAACGTGCAGTAAGGATGAGGCCCAGCAGACTTTTGCAGCGTTCCCATGGCAGCCAAAGTTATGGACTGGAGCAGTGTTTCACAACCAGGCACCTCCCACATATTCTGGGCTCCAGCACCCAACAACCAGCATGGCCAAAGGTTATGCTAGCTGAGGGTGATGGGTCTTGTTGTTCTATATATCCAGAGTGCATCCAGTTGGTGAAGCTTGGCTTGGGGAGTTTGTTGCACTAAAAGGAGATATGTATCCATAAAACGACAAAAATGTATTCCAAACTAATATTTAGAGCTTTTCCTTCCTTCCTTCCCCACACCTTTCACCCATGATACCATTTCATCTTTGAGTAACTCCCTCTTATTTTTTCTGGATCTTCCTCTTTTTTCCTTCTGCAGTATATTTTTGTTGACGCCTTCAGTCAGTACCTCTGGCTCACGACGGATTTTTGCAGGACCATTCAAGGCTTCTCAATTCCATTCAAAGCTGCAGACCTGCTTTTGCACAGCCGGCTACCAAACCTCGTGTTAGGTTTTGATAAGTCCCATCCCAACAAACAGGTGAGTAGGGGATGCGATGAAGAGCTCCCACTAGTACTTTTACAGTTTCCCTTCCACTCATGTCCGCCATGCTTACTTTCCCCCCAGTGTCCTGCCGTTATGGGCCATTGGCTAAAATCTTGTAGCTTTGTCACATGCGGAGGGCAAACGGTACAAAAATGGGTAGTTTCCAGCTGGCGATGAATGAGTCGCTGCTGGGATTCTCAGGGATATGTGTGCTGCTGGCATGGCATAAGCTCCAGAATCTCAACAGGGACTCATTAATTGAAGCAACTGAATGTTCTCTATGTAACAAAGACAACAGGATATCATCTGTTATAAAATTGTTCTGTGTCTTTTTGTGGAAAAATGTGCCCACCACCTGTTGGCAAAAAAAGAGAGGCCATTTTATTCCAGCTCAGCTTGGGAATTTTTTTTTTAATTGCATCTCTCAGGATTCCTCAGCGAATGTAACCAATAGCTTTATTCATTGATCTGCAATTCGGAAAATTAACTCCCCCGTCAGTTGCTTCTAGCTGGCAATTGACAAGTCTCTGCTGGAAATTCTGAAGCTTCAGACAATACATAGCTTAACTCCTCTACTCTGTATATGGTGGAAAGAACTACACAGTGCCATATTGCTACCCTCTCTTCTCCTCTGTAAATAAGACAGGGGTATAGCTAGTTCTTTTCACCTTCCCTAAAACTTTTAAAGTCACTTTGTTCAAGATCCTCTTGTTATGAAATAAAAGTGTTCTTCTGTAGGGGCTGAACAATGTGGAGGGAGGGAGATAGGGGCTGGAAAATGCACCACTTCATGATGTTGGTGCCTGAAGTAGATTGCAGAGTTAAAACTAAGCATTTTGGTACATGGGGTAAAAAGGGCCACGATTCCCCACTCACTCAGCTATGAGTGGAGGAGGAGACCTTTAGGTGCATTTTTACTGGCCCTGTGCATTTTGGGTGCCCTTTAGATCCCTCTAGGAATGTGCAGTGGACAGACACCCCTTCCCAGCCTCTTGCAATGCCCCTCTGACCCCGGGCCCGGAAAAGCCAATGGTCTAAGCTTCAACTGTGATGCCTTTGGATCCCGGACGTTGTCTTTGTTTGGCTGCTTTCTGGAAACAAGGCCTCCGTCGATGTTGTCCAACCTCGTTGCGAGCGAGGCCGGTTGAAAAGGAGAAAAATAGGCCAACGTTTTTGCCTGCTTTCCCAACAAGAATCCCGCCTTTGTTCCTCTCTTGGGACGGCTCGCCTTGTTCTCACGCTGGCGCTTGGGACGGATGGGCAGGAGCTGGGAGGTGGCGCCATGCCAGCCAGCCAGCCTCCTGTGCTGCCTTGGTAGCTGGCCGACAGAACCCTGTTTGTCTTTGGCGGTCGCATACCAGCGTTTGTGTGGTTTTCCACCACCCCCTCTGTCCGCTCCAGTGTTTGGATCTCAGCTTCACCATAATTGATGGGTGGTTTCTGCTCCCGGTGGCGGTGCTAAGACCCTGAAGACTGCCATTTCCCTCCTTCCCCTTAGCCAGAATGGTTTCCTGCTCTGGAATCAACCAAGAAATAAAGAAATAATCCAGCTGCTCTGAGCAAGTGGTTTCAAGAAAAATTTCTTGCAAGCTTTCCCTGGTTTTCTTCTGTCTGTTTGATGACAAGTTCCCTGTTTCAATGTATGTTGCTTTGCTCTGATCTAGCACTGGAAAGGCTTGCATTCGGCATCCATGCAAGGACATGAACAGGGAGTGAGTGAGCAATTTTGAGGCACATTGAATAAGCTGACTCCTTATGGTTCTCCATAGGTTCCATCTCCTGCTATTTATTTCTAGAGGTTTTTTTGGACCTTGCTGGGGATCATCGTCCAGAAATGCACATCTGTATACCTCTGTTTCTTAGTATTTCTGTAGTCTTTGAGATTTTCCTTCAGCGTGTGCTGATGTGTCTTTGTCATGTTTGATGGTGCTTCAGCAGCCTATGCAAGGATGCCTGCCTTCAAACATCAGAAAGAAAAGGAACCTTTTAGAGCAGTGGTCCCCAACCTTGGGCCTCCAGATGTTCTTGGACTTTAACTCCCAGAAATCCTGGCCAGCAGAGGTGGTGGTGAAGGCTTCTGGGAGTTGTAGTCCAAGAACATCTGGAGGCCCAAGGTTGGGGACCACTGTTTTAGAGGACTGACCTGGAACAGGATTACTTGAAAGTAGGTTTCAGGGAATGAAGGAAGCACCCCTTGCTTCCCAAGGCAATGATCTTTGATGTAGGGCCCTTCTTTGGATCAGTCCTGTGCAGCATCTTGGACAGTGGATTCAGGATCCTGCCCAGATTCCTCAGCTTCTCCCTAGTTCACTGATCTACCAGCATTCCCAGTCTGTTTCTCTGTGCTCTTAATTTTGCAGCTGTGGAAGTCTGATGATTTTGGACAGACGTGGATAATGATCCATGAACATGTGAAATCGTTTTCCTGGTAAGTGGCGAGAGAGCCTTTTCACTGTTGGTGCAGACGCTCACTTCTTTTCCCTCCCGTTATGCCCATTCCTAACGAGGCGGTTGAATCTGCCTTTCCAGATGGATGGCGACAGGTTATAGAGATGGGACATGTACTGAATTTTCTTTACAGCACTGTAAGTTTTTGTTCGCTGTCTCACTCGGTCATCCATGCCCTCCTCTCGGGAATCTGTGTTCTGTCCCCCTTCCTTTTTGGTTTCCTGTAATTTCCAGGAAGGGAAAATCTAAATCTTACTTTAGTTTTGAGCAGGGAAGCTCCTAATGTTCATTGCAGCTGCAAACTCATAGTGCCCCCTTGGTTTCTGTGATCTACCCATGCCTGTTAATCCTGGAAGGATCATTGCAATCTGCTTTGCAGGATTGTTGTTAAGGGCTTCTTGGAAATAAGATGACTTTGAGGGTTTTTAGTACCTATGGATTTCAAAAAGTCTCCTGTTTTTCCCTTCCCAATCAGGGGCATCGAGCCGTACGACAAGCCAAACACAGTTTACATAGAACGGCACGAACCAACGCACTCCTCTACGATCCTTCGCAGCACCGATTTCTTCCAGACCCGGGAAAACAAAGAGATTCTCCTGGAGGAGGTGGAAGACTTCCAACTCAGGGACAAATATCTGTTTGCGACAAAGGCCGTGGTAAGGAACAGGCTGGGAAAGGTCCAATTTTAAAGAGACACGTAGAAACATTTCCACAGATGGAAAGTGTGTCCACAGCCCCGCCCCCCCCGGCTTCAAGGGAATGAATTCAAATCCTGGAGCGTCCAGTGTCCTACCGGATAGGAGCTGACAGGCTTGTTCTTGTAGACATAGAAGTAACAAAGAAAAAAAGAGGGGAAGGTTTTGTGAGTTTCAAAGGAACGATCAGTGGAAGTGGCTTGAGCTGGCATTGTTTTTATCTCTTTCTAGGGCTCTGTTGCGACAAAGGCCGTGGTAAGGAACAGGCCTGGAAGGCTCCAACTTTAAAGAGACGCGCACAAACATTTCCACAGATGGAAGTGTGTCCACAGCCCCCCCCCCCGGCTTCAAGGGAATGAATTCAAATCCTGGAGTGTCCAGTATCCTACCGGATAGGAGCTGTCAGGCTTGCTGTTGTAGACATAGAAGTAAAAAAGAAAAAAAGAGGGGAAGGTTTTGTGAGTTTCAAAGGAAAGATCAGTGGAAGTGGCTTGAGCTGGCATTGTTTTTATCTCTTTCTAGGGCTCTGGCAGACAGGCAGGAGGGCATTGGTGCAATTAGAGGGGGGATTTGCAATCACACAGAAGTCTGACAGGTGTGCCCATGGGCAGCTTGCTTGGCAATATTAGCCAACAAAAACATGATACTGTTGGTTAGCCTCCTCTCCCAATCCATGCTCGCATAAGGGAAATTGCATTATGTCTTTGTGTCAAGGTGCCATCATTAACATGGTCCTGCTCCTGCTCCTAGACACACCTGTGAGTGGGTTGCATGGCCAGGAGCACGACCAGCACTTTCTTAATGAACAGCAATTTGCCACCAAGGCTTATGCAGTTTTTCTTACACAAGTGTAAATTGGCACTAGGATCCCAGCCCTGCATTGCATCCAATCACAGTGCTGCTATGGTGGGAAAAGTTAATTTTCTTGAACTATAATTCTGAGAACTCCACAGCTACTTGGGAAGTTATTGTCCTTCCTTAACCCTGGAAAAGCAAAACCTTGGGCTTTTAATTCTGTTGGCCAAGACATTTGCCCGGCAATATTTTCACTGGCCAAATTAGGGGTGTTCTTGCCAATTTAATCCAGTGGGCCTTTTTACGCTGCTGTTGTGGCACTGCCAGTGTGGTCTCCGACTCAAATGAAATGTCCCCAGAATGAAAAAAAAAATTGTTGGCTGCAAAAAAATGAATCAACGGCATGACCCCCGTGGAATCGCTTTCTCATCTCAACAAGATTTACAAGGATAAAATATGCAAATAGCAACTTTGATGCCTTCGGAGTGGGCCTGTGGAAATGTTTGCGCTTCATTACAGCCATAATTCTGACTATAACTTTATAATCAGGAAATTCTGTTAATTGGGCTTCTTGACTGACACAGCTGGTCTGAGACCGTGGCCGAAGTCCTAGCCACAAAGATTGCTGGATGAGCTTCTGAGCTACCTCGCAGGGGTGTGGTGAGGATACAAAGAAGGGGGTGCTACACAGTGCCCCAGGTTCTTTGATAGAAAGGCAGTCTGAAAAAATGTGATAGATAGGGAAAGGAACCTAAGTAATTGCATACGATGCACGAGCTTGCGAGAGCCAAAGTTAAAATGTCATCCTTGGTGCGTCTGATTTTAGTACTCTAGGCAGATCTAGGTCAGTCTGAAATGCTGGGAGTGTTGACAGGAAAGCTGAGATGCCTGTAAGTCATAGGCAGCTGAAGATGATGGTAGGACGAGGCAGGGGAGTGGAAGAGAAGGCTGTCCAGAGAGAGGGAGAGGATCTTCTGGATTTCAAGCAAAAAGTCGTTGGCCAAGTGGAACAAGCCTTCACCCCAGATCATTCGTGGGGTTCATCTCTTGCTCAGGGCTGACACTGGATGGGGGTGAACCCAAGGTTGTAGGCTTGTTGTTGTTGTTGTTGTTGTTGTTGCTGTTGCTGTTGCTGTTGCTGTTGTCTGAGAAGCATCTCAGGGAAGTGAGAGCTATTCTGTGCCCAGCTGTGGTGGAAACAATAGGATAGGACCAGATGGGCCAGTAGTCTGTCATGATCTAAGTTAGGTTTTGCCCTTGGGAGAGTGGCTGCTTATAGCTTAATTTCCTGACCACCTGGCCTGCAAGTTCCCATTCCGCTCCCTAGCATCTCCAGTGAAAGCTGGAATGGGGAACCAAAGCTGGCCCCACTGAAGCCCCCATTGCAGTGCTGTGGGTTTTCCCAGATGGGCCATGCCTTCTTTCCCAGTAACAGCCTCGCTTGGTGTTTTGTGGATCTCTTCTCACTCCAGAAGACCTAAAGGTGCCTCCTAACTTTTAGTTAATGACAGTAAGAGCTTTGACCTCAAATATTCTGGTCTTTTGGGACCTGTCTTTCTTTCTTGCCCTTTGAAAGCATCTATTGCTGCTGGAAAGTGGCCTTTAAAAACATATTTGAAACCGAGTTCTGCCCTCCTCCAGTTGCACGAGAATCTCCAGTGTGGATTTAAAAAGATTAGACAAAGGATGTTTGGAAAAGGCCTTGGTGTGCTGGGGGACGCCAAGAGACCTGCGGCTGATCAGACCGGACGAGAAGGCTTCTAATTTCAATCCAGGGTAATTTTGAGATTCGCGTGATGAGCTATAGAGTCCCTTCCAGCTTGGCAGTTCTAAGAGGATGATGATAGCACTTTTGAAATACTTGAAAGGTAGTCCTACAGAGAAGGGACGGGAATCTATTCTCAATCATCCCAGAGCGTGGGACACATCCTCATGAGCTCAAGTTATGGAAAGCCAGACTGAATATCAGGAGAAACTTAACTGTTAGAGCAGTACAGCGATGGACCCTCAGGAGGAGGTGGTGAGCGCTCCAACACTGGAGGCCTTCAAGAGAAAACTGGACCATCCTCTGTCAGATTTACTTTGATTTAGATTCCTGCCTTGAGCAAGGGGGTAGGACTCAATGCCTTATAGGCCCATTCCAACCTGTTTATTCTATGTTTCAGTGATGATGTGTAATGGGCAGTAATATTCTCAGGGGTGAAACTCTCCCAGCGTTTCTTTGTTTTTTTACAAAGCCAGCAAAATTGGCAGCCCCACAATGGAGTTATACACCATTTGCGGCATCTCTTAATTGCTTGGATGGTTACCAACCCATGAAGGAGTACCGGTTTGGGCTGCCAACCCAAAACCACTGTAACATAAGCGATCCCACTGGAACAGCTGCATTCATTTTGGGTCGGGGCCACCTTTGGGAGAGGTTAAGTGGTTTCTGGCAGACTTGTCAAGGAGTGATTTTTTTTTAAAACAAAGGCAATTTCCCAAACTGTGGTGGATTTATACCTATAAAGGTAATTTGGGTGGATGCAACCCAGCAAAGAGCTGATTTCTTATTATTCCACTTGCCTTGCTGTGCTTGCATTATATCCTGTGCTGTCAATGCAGGGCTTTTAAGGTAAGTGAGATATTTAAGGAGTGGTTTGACCAGTTCCACACACCCCAATGAGTATCCATGGCCAACTGGCGATTTAAACCCTGCTCTCCAGAGTCCTATCCTGTCACTGTATCCACTGCTTTACACTGGAAATCATGGGCTTGTATTAATTCCATGTAAAGTGCTGAAAGTCTGAAAGAGAGGAAGATTGGAAAAGGTTAATACTCTCCCAATGTACATGGGTTTCCCTGTGCTGTCACCCAATGATGACTGTTAGCTCACCATAGGTGAGTAGGCAAACGGCATTTAGCAAGAAATAAATGCTTGGATTTGAAAAAAAATATCCAATCAAAGACCTATGGGTTAGAAGCCTGACCACCCTCCACCCGTATGCTATTGTCAAACGTCCAGCAGGAATTGTTTAGAGGCTTATTCAGAATTAAATCACTTGAATAGTAGTGGTGTGGGGGACATTTTGTACCCATGGCTCCAAATGGTGTGTCTGGTGACTTACATCAGCTCTTCTCCAGAAATCTTCTTATTACAACTACACATTTAGGATTGCATTTCTCTTGGCCCTTTGTCTTTCCACAGCCTCTTCTGGGGGCCCAGCAGCAGACGTCCGTTCAGCTTTGGGTGTCCTTCAACCGCAAACCAATGCAAGCTGCCCAGTTTGTGACCCGGCACCCTATTAAGGTATGGATCCATGTGTAAGGGAGGGCTGAAAGTTCAAAGGGAAGATCTGAGGAAATAGGAGGTCCGCTTGTTGCTTTTCAGCAAATGCAGATAGATTCAGTAACCTATCTCCACATGGTGTGCATGTGCACCTCAGGATTTGAGCCAGCCATGCTTTCTCAGAGGATGCTCCATTCTACTCCCACTTCCTCTTAGATTTACATTTTAACACTCCGTAGCCTTTCCATACTCACCGTGCATGTACATTTCTGACAGGCTGTTCTGTGAAACAACCTCATGTCCCCTAACTGAAAACATCCTTTTTTTCCAAAAGAGGAAGCTCCATATATCCCCCCCATAACCCTTGCCACAGCCCTGAAAGGCAGTAGTTTTACCCCATGTTACCTATAAAGGAAGGTGACCCTAAGAAAGAACCACTTGCATAAAGCCACAAGGTGAATAGATAGGAGAAGTATGAGATTTGAAGTGGGATTATTTCTCAGTTCGCAATCTGCGTTTTGAGCCGCCAACTGTCCAGTGCACGGAAGGGGTTAACGAGGAAGAAGAAGAAGGAAAAAGCTTGTCTTGATCTTTGTCTTGAAGGAATATTATATTGCGGACACATCTGAAGACCAGGTGTTTGTGTGTGTTAGTCACAGCAACAACAGCACCAACCTCTACATCTCCGAAGCGGAAGGCCTGAGGTTTTCGCTGACTTTGGAGAATATTCTCTACTACAGCCCCGGAGGAGTTGGGAGTGACACCTTGGTCAGGTAAGTGTCCAAGGGAGAAGGGACTTCCTGTATCCTGTCCTTAACTTGGAAAGCTGCCGAAACACACACACACCAGTTCCATTTGCCCCCTTGGAAAGCTGCCGAAACACACACACACCCCCAGTTCCCTTTGCCCTGGAGGTCTTGCCAAAGCCCTTTAAGTGGGAACCCATCATTCCTGTTTAAACTGCGATGACCTGGAATAATAGGAGAACAATGGGTTCTTTTCCGAACCACCTTTCTAATAGACCTTCACCTTCTTCTTTTTTTGGCAGGTGGTGGCAGACTAGCTTGGAAAAAACAAGTTACTTTTAGGGGGCAATATATCCCAGTGGCCTTGCTCTTGGGGGGGATTTTGGGAGATGTAGTCCAAAAAAAGCAACTTTTCCAGATGTTAGGCAGTAGGAAGCTTGGGACAGTTTACATAGGACAATGTTTTTGGGTTTTTTTTTCCTTCCAGGGAAAAAGCTGCCGTCTCTTTTCATAATAGTTAAAGCCAGAGTTGGTTTCTGCCATGGATGGACAGTTGACACATATAAAAAAACATAGTGCACAAAATAGTTAATTCATTGACTGAACTGATTACCCAGAAAGTGGTTGTTGTTGGTCACCAGCTTAAGTGGCTTCAACAAAGCTTAGTGTCCTTTTTTTTTTTTTTTTTTTGACAAAGTCTGTCCAGTGGTGACTCAAGCCTTCAGGTTCAGGAATAGTTTATCTTTAAGTACCAGATGCTAGGAATGACAACAGAAGAGGGCTATGGTCTATGGTCTCATAATCTTCCCAAGAGCATTGAGTAGCCCAGTGGAGGAAAGATGGACTTTGGTTCGTTTTATCCCAGAAGACCTTAAGGAGTCTAATGAAGAGCCCTTTGGAAAGTGAAAAGCTGGACAATCAGCACCTTTACGAGTGACACTGCAATAAAATGTTGCAGTATGAATGACGGCCTCAAGGTGCCTTCCAGCCACCTGTCACCATTCCATGCTCTCCTTCCTCCTCATTTTCTGTCGCACCTCCTACACTCAGTTGCATTCTGTACCCACAGAGGATATTTAATCATTATTAGTATATTTATGGGCTACTGTCTTTAGCCTTCCCCTCCTAAAGAATGTTTCTGTACTTCTACAAACCTTTGGGGTTTTCACCGTGCCTAATAGTGACTCCCTCTTGTTGTGAGGAAATAATGGTTTAGCATATTATTTAGCATATTAATATAAGTTGCTGAAAGATTTCAATAAGTTGTTCCAATCTTTTTCTATAAAGAATGGTTTGGTTTCTAAAACTCGCTTTTAAACTCATTTTTAAATCTCTGCAAGGGTCCTGCTGAGCAGAAAAGCAACAAATAAGTGTTGGCGCTGAGGGCCACAAAGCCCAGAATGTAAAAAATGGCTATATAGAAAGAAAATGGTGTCAGCTGACTCAAAGCCTCTTTTTGTTGGGATGTTATTCACAATCCAGAATATTCTTTTCTGGTTCATGTCCTAGTCTTATTAGCTAAGCGCTGTAAGACATTTAATTATTTATATGATTGATTGATTGATTGATTGATTGATTGATTGATTGATTGATTGATTGATTGATTGATTGATTGATTGATTGATTGATTGATTGATTGATTGATTTGCCTCTTCTATAGGCCACCATTCTCCCCTTAAGGAGACTCGTTCCACATTCCTGAGTTGAAAACAGATCAATGTTTTCTCTGTTGGGTCTCTTGTTTCCTTTTTTTGCTGGGCAGGTATTTTGCAAACGAGCCGTTTGCTGATTTCCACCGCGTCGAAGGGGTGCCCGGGGTCTACATTGCCACCCTGATCAATGGCTCCTTCAGTGAAGAGAACATGCGCTCAGTGATTACCTTTGACAAGGGGGGGACTTGGGAATTCCTCCAGCCTCCGGAGTATACGCGCTATGGGGAGAAAATACATTGCGAGGTAACAAGACTGAACGGCCACTAAGAAACCTCTCTGCCCCCTTCCCAGACTTTCAAGAGCATTTGTACAGTCCTGCCTAATGGTTTTGGGTTCACAGAAGCTAGAAGAGGGCATTCCAAGCCTGTAAAAATGATTTTTCTGCACTTCAGTGCCCATGGCCATGCTGGCCAAGGGGACAATAAGAGCATTTGTACAGTCCTGCCTAATGGTATGGGTTCACGGAAGCTAGAAAAGGGCACTCCAAGCATGTAAAAATGACTTTTCTGCACTGCAGCACCAGTGGCCATGCTGGCCAAGGGGATAATGGGAGTGATAGTCCAAAAAAAGAGAGCAAAGCTTCTTCCTTTCCTTGTTGCACTTCTTGGAAGTCTGCACGATTTGGGATCTCTAATGTTGACATTAACCCTACAGACGTGTTCGAACATGACTGGTCAACTCTAGCCCACAACGGCTATTCTCTAAGACACTGGTTGCTCCTTAAGATGGCCCAGGATTCTTGCTGGGATCCTGTGTATTTTTCCTTCCTACATCTGTCAGGATTATGCAGAGTCAACAATAGTCTTAAGCGATGCAAGGTGCAACTCAAAGAGTCTTGAAAAATCCCCCAAGCTCCTCACTTACTCCTGCATGCATCTTCACAGTCTATGCCCAGAAGGACATGCTTTCTGCAGGACAAAGTGATGATGCTCCTATGGTTCTTCCTTCCAGCTTTCTCACGGCTGTTCTCTCCACCTGGCGCAGCGTCTGAGTCAGCTTCTCAGCTTCCAGTTGCGCAGGATGCCCATCCTGTCTAAAGAATCTGCTCCTGGACTCATAATCGCCACAGGTATAGTTTCTATCCTGGCTTTGATTTATAGGTTGTGACCTCCTTTCAGCCCCTGTCCAGGTTAGCCCGCTGTATATGAATGAAGAAACCTCCATGGGTCCCAAAATCAAGGTTTGAATTGAATGGTTGTAGGCCTGTTCTGGAAGATCCAGAGGCCTTGGTGAGTCTCTGGGGACTTTTCCATACGATTTTGAGTGTTGCTCTATGAGTTCTTTCTGAATTGGTTTGGCATTGAGATGGGTGTGTTTGACCTGGAAGATGGAACGGGAGAAGTAGGCAGGCCTTTGGCTTTTCTTGACCTGAAACATTTACAGTCAAGGGCTGGTGACCCCATGGACCATCAGCTGCATGTGATTGGTGATTATCATGGGTCATCTCATGGAACTTCAATTGAGGTTGGAAGACCATCAGGAAAATCAGCGCTGTCACAGGCATGTTGGTGTAATAATCTTCTTTGTAACATCCCGGTCAGAATTCATGTACGAGCTTGGGGTGGGAAGCCACAGATGTAAAGAAATGAAAAGGTTATTCATCACTTGTTCCACTGTGTCCATGCTCTACATCTGTCTGTGTAGGATCTTTAGATTTATAAAAGAACTAGTAATTGTGAGCCATTAGAATTCTCAAAAGATTGCACTCTTGCCTGGCGATCGTTGACAACATCTGTCTGTGTAGGATCTTTAGATTTACAAAAGAACTAGTAATTGTGAACCACAAAAGATTGCATTCTTGCCTGGCCATCGTTGATGTCTCATTGAAGAAATCAGCCATTCGAAAACTGAACCAAACCATGAATATCAGTTCTTTTTTATTTCTTAGGCTCTGTGGGGAAGAACATGGCTAGCAAAATGAATGTGTATGTCTCCAGCAGCGCTGGTGTCCGATGGAAAGAGGTAATGATATCTTCTAAGCTTCCAAACAAGTTTTCCTTTGGTTTCTGAGGAGGAGGAATCAGTCTCCTTTCTTCTTTTACTCCTCCTGGCCTTTGGACTTCAACTCCCATCAGCCTACTCCAGACCAGCTGATCATCAGGGGTTTTAGGAGATGTCATTCCACACATTGGGAGGGGGGAAGGTTTAGAACACTGCCTTATCTCAGGACAGCTTGTAGGGTTGGGCTGTAAGTCTTGTGATTCCTTACCACTGGCTGTGCTGGCCAAGAGATCTCAAAAGGGGGCCACTCCAGATAGATCTGGAGGTCTGCAAGTTGCTAAGCTCCGATATCAAGGAATGCATAGGTGGGTATGCAGAGTGACCTCAACCACCTGCTGTACCTCTTCAGTTAAGAGGAAAACGTGTGGATTTAGAGCAGTTTGGGAATGTCTTTGTCGTCCGAGGGCCAAGTTGAATTCCAGAGAAATTCATCTCAGGGACAGATAGGACTGAGGGCAAAAAGATGGGACCAAAATCATATCTTCTTAAAGGAGGGCCGGAATGGATTCCAGGGCCTGAGGTTGCTGACCCCCTGGTTTACCTGCTTCACTCCATTTAGAAATTCAGCACCATTCCTTCTGGTTTTCATGGCATGAATACTATATCGCTATAGCACGCCGGGTTTTCCAAACAAAATGGATGTTGTTTTTCCAACAAGGTTTGCTTTCATGTATAAATCCGATATCTTCTAAGCTTCCAAACAAGTTTTCTTTTGACTGAGGAGTCCATAAAAAAACACGGTTTCTGGAGAGGAGGAGGAGGAGGCAGTCTCCTTTCTTCTTTTACGCCTCCTGGCCTTTGGATTTCAACTCCCAGCAGCCCCACCCAGACCAGTTGATCATCGGGGGTTTTAGGAAATGTCATTTCACACATTTGGGGGGGGGGCAGAGATTTAGAACACTGCCTTATCTCAACAAAATGGATGTTGTTTTTCCAACAAGATTTGCTTTCATGTATAAATCTTGCATGCCATGTTTGCCTTTAAAAACACAGCCAAAGCACAAAGGAGTTCTCCCTCTTTGGGGTTGGAGGCTGGGGTGCTGTAAGAGCAGACCAAGACAGTTTTTGGCTGCTGTCCATCCAAGCAAGGGGGCTGTGGGTCCAATTTTGCAAGGGCTTTTGGCTGATTTGGTGGTCTGACCTGCAGCAAGGTTTTGTGGTAGGCTTCCGGTCTCTGGTTGTGATTCAGACATCTGCTAAGCGTTTGAATCCTGCATCCTTTGCCTCTTAGAAAGTGGGGCAGCCTCCAGGCTGGTAAGAGGGCAACCACAGCTGCTGGAGGAAAAGGTGGGTCCAGCAAACAAGCCTTTTCCTGTATGATACAGAGATCCTATGTACAAAGTGCCTGAATTGACTCAACATTCGTCCATCGTGTTCCCCTGTTTCCTTCTTTCTTCAGGTCCTGTCTGGACCCCATTATTATTCTTGGGGTGACCATGGAGGGATCCTCATGGCAGTGACCCAGGGCACAGAGACAAACCAGCTCAAGTGAGTAAAATAGGCCAATAAAATGACATGACTAGTCACTATCCTACACTCAATTAATTTTGAACTACAAAGCAAATTTAGAAGGAAGGCTAAAGTCTATCCATCCATCTGTCTGTCTGTCTGTCCATTAATTTGTTTAATGGACATTTGTTTGTCCGTTCGTTCGTTCATTTGTTCGTTAATTCGTTCGTTCATTCATTCATTCATTCATTCATTCACAATTGGGACTTTGATTCCCCACTTCTTTGACAAGTGCTGGACTTGATGCTCCACAGAGATCCTATGTACAAAGTGCCTGAATTGACTCAACATTCGTCCATCGTGTTCCCCTGTTTCCTTCTTTCTTCAGGTCCTGTCTGGACCCCATTATTATTCTTGGGGTGACCATGGAGGGATCCTCATGGCAGTGACCCAGGGCACAGAGACAAACCAGCTCAAGTGAGTAACATAGGCCAATAAAACGACATGACTAGTCACCATCCTACACGCAATTAATTTTGAACTACAAAGCAAATGTAGAAGGAAGGCTGAAGTCTATCCATCCATCTGTCTGTCTGTCTGTCCATTAATTTGTTTAATGGACATTTGTTTGTCCGTTCGTTCGTTCATTTGTTCGTTAATTCGTTCATTCATTCATTCATTCATTCATTCATTCATTCACAATTGGGACTTTGATTCCCCACTTCTTTGACAAGTGCTGGACTTGATGCTCCGTAGGGTCCCTTCCGGCTCTGCAGTTCTAAGATTATTTCCATAATCTAGTTGAGCCACTGGGATAAAACTGCCTTGCCATGCTTTTTGTCTGCATCTCTCTAGGTACAGCACAAATGAAGGGGAGACCTGGAAGACATTCACCTTCTCAGATAAGCCAGTCTTCATCTATGGACTCTTGACAGAACCTGGAGAAAAAAGCACCATCTTCACCATCTTTGGATCTTACAAAGAGAATGGGCACAGTTGGCTTATCCTGCAGATCAACACAACTGACGTACTTGGTGAGTGGAGGATTCAGCATATAGAGAGAGGCAGCCCCATTGCAAGATGCGGCATCTGACTATTACAAATTCTAACGTCCTACCTAGATCTCAGTAGAATCCTGGAAATTGTGGTTTGGAGGAAAGATGCCTCCTGTAAAAATAGTTCTTGTGGTTACTTGAGGGGAGGGGAGGACCGATCAATTAAGTCTCTTGTTGTTGATGTGTGAGCTTAAGAAGCTGCTGTACAGCGACCTAGGCCATTAGCCTATCTAGTCCAGGAATACACAATTTCCAGGCATGGGTAGGTACTTTAGCCTAGTCCAGGAATACACAATTTCCAGGCATAGGTAGGTACTTTAGCTCACCCAAATAAGGAGGAGCTGCATCCTCCTTGCTGTNAGCTGGTGGTGAAGGCTTCTGGGAGTTGTAGTCCAAGAACATCTGGAGGCCCAAGGTTGGGGACCACTGCTCTAGCTCACCCAACTAAGGAGGGGCTGCATCCTCCTTGCTGCCAAATTTATATTCCTGAACAATTTTATTTATTTATTTTTGCAAAATGCATTATTATCATTATTATTGTTACTCTTCTGCTGGAGGTCGGACATCATCTTGGTTACCCAATCTTTAAAGAAGGGGCAACTCTAAAGAATCCTGTTGTTTAGACCTTGATTAAATGCAATAGTTGTGATTCAAATGCTGTCCTGTGCTCACACATCCAAATCAAAGAGGTGTTTAAGCTCGGCAGAAGAGTAAACTTGACTAGAATGTATAACTGATATTTCTTTAGGTTTTTTTTAATAAGCAACACCACTTGACAGCAGAAATGGCTTTTTAAAATGATAAGCAGGGCACTCTGATTAACGCTGTTACTGCTCTTCGGAATAATTTTGCTGTCATATCAGTGCCTAAACATTTTGTCCACTGAATGTTTAATAAAAGTGGGAGTAAGGTTCCTTAGCAGGTTAACCCCTAGTTGGATGGCTTTGGTTGGTGTTCAGATGCAGGCCGTCCATGACACAGAGGGGATAGGAGGTAGAAGTCCTGGCTGGATTGGTAGAAAAGATGGGGTGGAGCACCGGGGCAGATCTCACGAGGGCAGGCAAAGGAAGAAAAGGTAGGGAAAGAAGCTGCATAGTCATAGTGTAGGACACTGGTTCCCAACCTTGGGTAACCCAAGTCTTCTTGGACTGCAACTCCCAGAAACTCTGGTCAGCACAGCTAGTGGCAATGGCTTCTGGGAATTGCAGTCCAAGAATGCTTGGGTTACCCAATGTTGGGGAACACTGGTGTAGGAGAATAGGATCTGAATAGAAGCATAGGATGGATGGAAACAAGGGCTCAGGGAAGCACTGAGTACATATGTTGCCAAGGAAACTGGAGATGCTTTGCATCTGGCTTAACTCAGCCTCTCTTTTTCCTCATCCCTTCTCTGCCCCTTTTCTTTTGGATGATCTGTCAGCAGATCTTAGCCGGCAGAGGAGTTCTGCTGGCAGGTCTCTGAGATCAGAAAGGGGTCCTGGTGGCACACGCCATTTTCTGCCAAGAGCAAATTCTCCTTCTCTTCCTAATTCCCTCCTCCCGGTCTCTCTTTGCATTGGGACCACATGGCCAAATAACCACCGTAGCCTTCTGTATTTAAGCAATTTCATTTCCTGCCAGTAATTCTGAAGAAAAAAAAAGCACCTAGTAGGATTTATACACAGCAGTGGCAACCCTGTGTCCTGTAGGTCCGAACTTGCAAGTCTTCGGTTATCCTTGGTTCCCGGCTTTAAGATCCAGGTTTTCTGTTGATCGGACAGGGGTGCCCTGCACAGAAAATGATTACAAGCTGTGGTCCCCCTCAGATGAGCGAGGCAACGAGTGTCTCTTGGGGCATAAGACCGTCTATAAAAGGCGAACTCCCCACGCGACGTGTTTCAATGGGGAGGATTTTGATCGGCCAGTCATGGTCTCCAACTGTTCCTGCACCCGAGAAGATTATGAATGGTGAGTTGGCAGAATTTCTCATTGCATGGATGCTGTTAAGACAAAAATGGATGATTAAGTTGCGGTCATTCTAGGCATGCTTGGCCAAAGTAGATGCACGGCCTGTTTGAGACTCTGCAGTTCCTTTCTCCCATAAGCTCTTCACATGATAAAACTTCCCTGACTTTAAAAACAAGTCTGTCCCTGCAATATTTTTTTTTACTAATAATAATAATAACCTTAGAATTGAAGAGACCCTCTGGACCATCAAGTCCAGCCCCTCTCAAGGAGGCCCAGTGGGGAATTGAACTCCCAGCCTCTGACGTCACAGCCAGATATTCCCCATTTGTAAACACCTTAGCCTGATGAAGTTAACCTGGAGATCTTGAAAGCTAGCACAGATTTTTGGGCCTTTTTGGTTAGCCTAATAAAGAGCTATCCATGGATTTTTGTAACATGGAGGTTGACAACTGTTTGGTTAGCCTAATAAAGAGCTATCCATGCAAGTTGGGTTTTTGTAACATGGAGGTTGACAACTTTAGTGTTTTCTGGATCCGTCTAGTTCTGTTGACACTGGTCTCTGTGTGCCCGGTGAGTGTGGTTATTGTCATAGACTGACTCTTCCATAGCTATCCTTTGTGGTTTTATTACAGAATTCATCAGGGACTTCCTGTTGCAGGACCCTAGAAGATCAGTAAGGGGCAGTGGTTAGAGGACTGGACTGGGACAAGTGAGGCCCAGGTTCAAATCCTGACTCAGCCATAAATGCTGGCTTACCTCTCCTTACCCTAAACCTATTTCCTGAACTCCAGTTTAAAAAGTTGTTTTGAGGATAAAATGATGTATGTGAGGAGAGGGGGAGGTGAACAGTCATGTATCATAAACTCCCTGGTCCTTGAGGATTGGGAAGGACCCCAAACCATGTGGAGGAAGGGTGGGTTTAAGCTGTGCCACATAAACACAATATTTCAGAATACCAGTTCGAAGAGGAGTTCAAATTGAACAGTGTTGCCAGTTTTTCCCCTCACAAAAGAAACTGGGCAAGCTTTCTCGGACACCCAGATTAAAACCGAGCTGTGCTACATGGATGAAATAAATCTTTGGCATTTGGCCTGTTAACTTCTAGTTCCTAGTCCTTTCTGGAATAAAATTATCCCTACTTGGTATCCATTCTCTTTTTGTTTCTCGTTAGAAACATTGCACTTAATATATACATAGCAGAGATCAGAAAAGTTGTTTATTTTTTTTTTACTATAACCTGCAGGATCCCTCAGCCAGCATGGCTATGAAATTTTGGAAATTGTGGTAAAACACATACTCACTTCTTTTCCAATTTCTTGTACAAGCCTACAATGGCATGTGAAGATAATATTTTACCCTTTCCCATGTCTTTCCCTTTCTGTCTTGCTCAGTGATTTTGGCTTCAAGCTAAGTGAAGACCTGTCATTAGAAGTTTGTGTTCCTGATCCAGAATTTGCTGGCAAGGCATATTCTCCTCCTGTGCCTTGTCCTGTCGGCTCATCTTACAAGAAGACCAAAGGGTAGGTAACTGTCTGTGGCCTGTGACCTAAAACAGTCACATACAAATGATTTTGGAGATGTGCCTTTATAATAATAAATAAATGTGTGAAGTTTCATACACAACATCACATGCTCCTCTTCCCCATTTCTTTGGGAATAAGTCACTGGACCTGAACTGAGTTGCTTGGGGCATGCTGACCCCTGCGGCTGACGGAGGCTTCCTCCTCTAGGACCCCATCAGATTTGTCTCATTTTCCCTGAGAATTCTGTCCCTCCAGGAGAGATGAACCCGCAAAATGGCCAAATGGACGAAGCAGCTGCCTGTTTTAGGCTCTGCAGGGCCACTTCCTAAGTCTCCAGTCCTGGCGACCTCTCCATCGAGACATTCCAAAGCTCTGATTTATGCTTTGTGGGGTTCTTGGTGGCACTGCAGACTGTACGGTAAACACAGTGTTCCCAAACCAACGTGTGTCTCAGGGTGCTAATGTTCAGGTGGAGAGTGGTGTTATAGATGTTTTCAGGAAGGTTTGAAGGTCGATGGAGAGAGAAGCCTTCCCCTGCTTTCACCCCCAACTAAGGTTTCCTTACAAATTCTTGTGTCCTGCATTCCTGTTCCTTCTCTAATGTACTGATGGAAACGTGCAGTTCCTGAAGTAACATCTAGTTGAAAAGCTACAACAATGTGATTTTGTATATTTTAGTTCAACTCTTGAGAAAAGGAGCACATAAAAATGCTTTGGGCCTGGAATTACAACCATTCTTAAGTATCTACTTATTTTCTTGTCCGGAGTGCCACTATCTATGGTTTTCTGGACTAAGGTTATAGCCTCAGTCTCCTTGAAAACATCCCTCTCTTCAAACTCTGTTTCAGTTATCGCAAGATATCTGGAGACACTTGTTCGGGGGGTGACGTTGAAGCTCGGCTGGAAGGGGAATTAGTCCCATGTCCCTTAGCAGGTAAACAAGCTCATCCTTTCTCTTATAAAGCCCCAATTCGATGTTGGACTTCTGCTTTGATTTTACCCGCCAAAATGCTTTTTGTGTTCCACGTCTGTCTTGATCAGCGCCGTGATCCAACCTGTCTAGCATTCGGAGCAACAATGGGCGAAAAGACAAGAGCAGAGAATACTTGCAGTGTTTTTTCCCCCTGGAAATGTTGGCAAACATCTAGTCCATTCTGACATTTTGTTGCTTGGCAAAGATGAGATGAACAGAATACATCTTCCCAAACTATATCTATATAATTGAGAAATATTATCCCTGCACGATGACATTCTTTATGCCATATTTATGGATGGAAATATATCTCAATTCCTCCATTTTAAGAGAATAATAGGGACATATCACCACTCAGTGAGGTGTGCCTGTTTTTTTTTAATAATTCACATTCACCACTTGTTTTTATATTATCTTAATTATGATTCCCTAGATCAGCCATTCTCAATTTTTTTTTGCCATGGCCCTTTCAGGTGCTCTTGCTCAGGTATCTTGTGAAAAAAAAATCACATTTTTCAGCTTGTGGCCCCCTTGAAATGTGCCCAGGGACCCCCCAGGGAGCCACATGGCCCCCATTGAGAATGGCTGCCCTAGACTCAAACATTCCTTCAAAAACCTTTCTTGCTGCTTTCAGAGGAGAATGAATTCATTCTGTACACTACAAGATACTCCATCCACCGGTATGACCTGTCATCGGGGGTCAGCGAAGAGTTGCCTGTAACAGGATTGCGTGGGGCAGTGGCTCTGGACTTTGATTATGATCGCAACTGTTTGTACTGGGCGGATGTGACACTCGACATTATCCAGGTGAGTCTGTCCTTCTGAGATTCTCCAGTGTGGGGTGATGTTTCCTTTGCTACTGTTTTTTTTTGTGAAAGAGAGGTAGGTGGTCCCATGTAGGTAGTTAGCAAGGATATTGCAAGGGCAACCTCAGCAGAGAGCAGGAGAATCTTAGGGCACCGTTGTTGTCTGTTGTTTAGTTGTTAAGTCATGTCCAACTCTTCGTGACCCTATGGGTGCCTTAGAGGAAGCTAAAGGATCAAGAATCATAGTAAATGATGCATGGAGGAAAGAAAGTGTTCAATTGAAGGTAATGGTCTCATGCAGATGGGGTTCTCATCCCATGTGATAATGAGAAAGAGGTGGGTCCCTGCAGGAGATGCAAGACCCAGTTGAACAGAGGAGAGGCTGGGCTCCAGTAAGAGCAATGCAAAGCCAAACCAGTAGCACCCTGGACAGCTCCATGGGAAGCCCATGCTGAAGACTTCTATTGTTCTTTTGCAACAAGACTAGGCCTTGAGGAGAGCTTTAATTAGGTGACTCTATATTTGAGAAATTGAGACTCTTCTCTTGAAGAAAGTCTCACCTGCTTCTGTAGTAATTTGCTTCTTATGGACAGGGGAAGCCAAAGATCTGCTTGGGGTGTGGGTGGCAGGAACCCTTTCTCTTGCTGGAGAGTGTTTTTTGCAGTTCATCTTAGCAATAGGCAACCTTACTTTCTTGGCATACACCAGATTATTTTCGAAACTGTAATCTAGAAGAACTTTGTCTATCTTCTTCTTAGCCTGCCATGGCATTTGGGGTATTAGAGGCAAACCCTTCTCCCATTCTGAGATGGCCCCAAATTCTGGGTCTAATTCCCCCAAAGACAGAGCTCAATCCAGTGATGTAAGGGCAGGAAAATATTGGTATGAAAAATTAGCGGTTTCTCCCTTAAACTCATTAAAAAAGGTGAATCAAGGGATTTTCCCAAGCCAAAAACTAAGTTGTCTGGTGAGAGGCAACTTGGTCTGGAAGGGAGGTCACCTGACTGACCCCTTTGGTTCAGTGGCAGAAAAAAAGTATGATAGGAAATATGTGAAACAAATAATAAGATGACCCATTGTTTCTTACATTTGACCTGCTTATGACCCTCTATCAAGACTCCTGTGTGTCTATTCTGTTCTTTACCTGTGTTGTCCTGTATTATATTTAATATAGTTATTGGTGAACCTTTGAGGCTCCAGATCAGGGCTTTCCAACCTTGGGTCCCCAGATGTTCTTGGACTACAGGTCCCAGAATTCCTGGCCAACACCACTAGAAAGGAAGCCTTCTGGGAGTTGTAGTCCAAGAACATCTGGGGACCCAGAGTTGAGAACCAATGCTCCTGATGGTTTTAATCACAATTCCCACCATCCTTTCTGACTGGCCATGTTTCATAGGTAATATCCTCAGACATCTAGAATATTAAAGTTTTTCCCATCTGATTTAGGGCATAAGGGGATGAACCTCCTATAAGTTCCCTTCTTCATGACTTACTGATTATAAACGCTTCTACAGTAATGGAATTCACTCAGGTTTTTTCTAGTGCCTTGTGCTTCTTTTCAGCGGCTGTGTCTAAACGGGAGCTCTGGACAGGAAGTCATCATCAGCATTGGTCTGGAGACAGTAGAGGCCTTGGCCTTTGAACCCATCAGTCAGCTGCTCTATTGGGTGAATGCCGGCATTCCCAAAATTGAGGTACACCTCTCTGCGCATTCTGTTCAAGTGTTTTGAAAGCCATGTAGCTTTGTTTGATGGTGCAGGTCATCACAGAGTGGCTTAGGGGACAGCAACAGTGGGAAGAGTGTAGAAGGCACAATAAAGAATTATTTCCTACCTGTCTTCTTTCCTTTTGATGATGCTTTCAAGCTTAAACACTTCTGTCTTGAGAATAACTAATAAAATACTCAAACTTGTCCATGAACAAGTGATTTATATCTTGTTCTCTATACATAGCCTTCCATAACCCAATGCTTCCCCAAAGGAGCTACACTATAACTCCCATCATTCCCCTTCAGGAGAATGTTGATTCTGGTTCAACACATTTGGAGGGCAGGAAAGACAGGGTGCATTATGTTTACTCATGTTTTTCCCCTCCTGCACACAGCTAAAGGTGAGAGAACATTTGGAATCGGATACCGGTGGTAGGCAGTTTTGATTTTTATTCATTTATTTGCTCCTGCTGACAAAGAACCCTCATATTATTTACCGTGAATGTCAGTTGGTGCCTGGTTTTGATTCATAAGAGCTCGGAACAGCTAACCATGGGCATAAAAGCACAGGAGTTAAAACCAAAGATCTTCTCTATCTAAAGCAGCAAATGTGTTCCAAAATGCAACGCAAGCCATGCAAACAAGCAGTGCAGGAAGAGAAATCAGGCACGTACAAATATTCTGAAAGTTTGCACAAAAAGATTTGTTTTATAAGTGATATCAGAAGGGGTGGAGTTGGGGCAGTCGAGGGCAACGGGATGTAGAACACAATGGAGGTTTGCACTTGGGTTACCACGAGCTTTGCTGTGTGTGTAAAAAGGCAATTTTTGGAGAATAAAACTGCCTTGACATCTGCTAGATGCATCAATAAAACTGAAAGCGTGGAAGACAGATGGAAAGAAGAACAATAAAGAGGAGATGGATAAATATAGTCTACCTCTGAATACTAACTGCTTTGGGCAAGTCTTTGAGCCCAGATTTCGAACGCTCAAAGACATTAAAAATAGAAGGTTGGACCGATAGGTCTCAGGTTGATCTACTATGGGAGCCAAATGTTCCTCCCCCCCTCCTACAAGGGCGTGAAAGTTATGGAAAGCATAACTGATTTAATTACAGAGCAGAAACAATCCAGAAACATGTTATGCCTTGTAGCAGTCAGTCAGGCTTGGCATATTTTGGGTACTGCTCCATGAGCTGGTCTTACTGTGCATCCACCGAGTCCAGCTATATCCTGGCCATAAAACTCCATTTGCTCTAATAGCATTTGGTGTGGGGGTGACTGGCAAATGGAACCGATATATCAGAGTTGCCTTCAGGAAATAGCTGGTCGAGCTT